TTAAGGTCGGCTATTGACATCATTGATGCTTCCTCTATAACATCGGGCACAGCATTCGCTTTCGTCACTTTTCAAAAAATGAAGCTGCTTGTCTGTACTCTTATATTTTCTACCTTTTTGGCTCAGGGATTGAAAAGAAATCAGGAACACCAGAAATCGCGTTGGTGGTTAGATATTGTTAAGCACAATAGAACCAGAGCAAGTACGGAAACAGCTAGGACTCGTCCTCCTCCTCCTCCTCCTACACCGAAAGTCGAAGCGACTACGCCTCAAATATTTAATATCTATCGACAGGTTGACTCAAAAAGATTAAAACAAAGTAAACAGAAAACTCAAACTAGGAAACCTCCCACAGTTTCGTCCAAACCAAGTTTCGATGTATATTATCCAGATGACTTGAAGCAATTGCAAGTTAAACCCGAACTTACCACTTCTACACCCTACGATGTCACCAAAAGGATAAAACCCAAAACTTCTACATCTGTAAATGTTGCAACTACATTACGAACAGTTCAAGGAAGGACTTCACCCCTTCAAACAGAAGTTATACAAACAACGACCCCATTACCTGGTGAATCTAAAGTGGAAGAAAGTTTCTCCAAAAAGTGTCAATGCGGGTGTTGGCCAGTGATAACGGGACAAGAATCTTCTCTTCAGCAAATCGCTGCAAATATTAAAATTGATGCCTTTTTTACTCTGGTGAATTTTAACGAAGAAATCATTTCTTCCATTCTCGGAGTAGATGGTAAGTATTAGTAGATCTTTTTATTTATTTAAGAATTTTTTAAAAATACGACGATCTTCTCTCTCGATTTACTAGTGAATGTGTGTATAAATTGGGGAATAAACCGAAATGAAATACACAGAGACTTTGTTTCGTTAAACAGAAAATGGCGTCACGTTTTTTAATCTCTCGTGTTATAAGATTTAAACAATAGTGTGAGAAATAACAATATTAATAATAATAATAATGTTAATGATATATATAGTAAAATAATGAAATCATTTTGTTATCAGCCATATTTGACACTAGGCATAAGCAGTTGCATGCTGCTTATGCCTAGTGTCATATATACTGTACTTGGCTATCACAATTACGAAGATAAATGGAACTTCTAAAGACTTATAAGCTAAACATTCAATTTTCAGAGACCCGTTTTTCGGAAACGATTGAGAAATGGATCCTATTATTTAGACAAAGAACTATTTGTATTTAAAGCTACGTGTTTACCAAGTTTTGTTGGAATTGCAGAGGCGAACGTCTGGTCGTCTCCTTGTCAGAGCCATAATGAATGTTTTACTGTATTTCTAAATAAGCCAAGAGAGATTTGGTAGTATATTACTTAAATATTATTTTACAGACGACAAAAGTGAATCGTCACCACATGAATAGATGTTGTTTTAATTTTTAACCATACCCAGTAGCTTCGATAACTGCATTACGCCAGGTTGTGCAAATTGAGCAAGGATACAAACGAGTACGAAGTTTTTCTTCATAAACCTAATTATTAAAGCCAAACTAATTGCCGAATTATCGGGCTATAAGCTCGATTCCGCTATTAACCCGGTATAACCCGAATTATGCGTTAGGTCACGCTGCTATCTTGCTCATCATCTTGAGATAGCAACAAACTTCGAAGTGTAAAGTATTGGTATTTGGTAGCGATTTATTTTTGTTGCCGACATTTAATATCGAGATTTAGAGAATATTTACTGAATGAAATATTACTATGCAGCCATAAATTGTTGGTGCCGTTCAATGAATTTGTAAGTTACAGATTTCCTTTAACCTTTTGGTAAATCCTCTCCCCTTTAATTGTGTGTACAATAGTTCGCCGACTCCCTAATATTAAAGAAATAACTAAAACGTTCCGCAAATATTTTCTTACTCGTAAGTGATAGTCTATTCACCTGATTAGAACCAATTCGTGTGTCACTAATACCACTAAAAAAAGCCTATGTGGACAATGTCTCAATCCCTCCCCCCATCATGTAGGCCTATAATGATGTACAGTAATGTATTTTTCATTGAATCCCGGCTTAAAATTCAATAATTTTCCCCGCCCATGTTGATGGAAAAATTACCTTCTCTTGTCCCCAATAATTTCGCCCATGACGAAAAATATTTAAACCGCCTCTACAGATAGTCCCGATTTACGAAGGAGTTCCGCTCGGGTATCCCCCTCGTAAGTCGTTCATAATACATACAGAAAGAATATAAAATTATAATTATNTTCTTAGTGTACATTCTGTTGACGTACCCTATTAAAACGCAATCAAAAATGCAAAAATCCGCATTTAAAATAGTATAATAGAAGCCAAGTTTTTCAGAGTAAGCCTTAATCCTGTCTCTCTCCCCCGCGGGGGGAATATCAAAAAATCCCTTCTTAGTGTACTGTACATTCTGTTGACGTGTCCTATGTTACTAATCGCCCCCATGTGGGCGATTAGTAACAATGTGAGGCTCCGGAAGTGGGTCGAAATTAGTGCAGCGAAAATGTTTGTAATATCTTATGGAAAAAAATGTTCTAAAATTATAATTATTATTTTATTGTTAGCCATAAAAGAAACATATGTTTGGACATTCTTCCGCTCATACAGCGCTAAGAGGTCCAATATGTTGTCTGCAAGGAGAATGTTACTTATCCTATCGAAGAGGGCTCATTACTTGAACTATGATATGTGGTTGATGTTATAATATTTACGTGATTATTATTGCGTGGACAACTTTATTGTGCAAGTTATGCTATGTTTCATTTATTTTATACTCAATAAGACAGTTTTATTTGTGTAATACATAAAAGTACAACAGGAAAATAGGAGAATAATGCGGGTTAGTAACCTGACCTAACCTTTACTCTGGTATTTCCAAGAGCCATGGAAGAAAGGAATAGAGCTTTGGCCATACAATTGATAGAGAACTGGTGCAATTTTGTAATACTTGCCTTAATTTGGCAAAAGAGATTTTTATTTATGATAAAAATTACAAGGGAATTTGCTCATTTGGCAGATCTATACGATATTTATATCTACAGTATATCTATATATATAGCAGCTCTCCATCAGCTAGGACACGGATAAAAGACACATACGATTTGACAACAGACAGAGATAGTTGGAAAATTTAAGGCCGTATTTAATCAGAACCGAAGAAAACACCTGAAAATGAGCAGGTCCATGCAACCGTGTGGCAATAACTAGCTCCAGTTATATCTGGAAACACTATCCTGAAAACGAGGAAGATCTCAACTATTCTTATGCATCCGAAGCTGCAGAAGCGGTAGACGTTAGAAAGATGATGTTTATTAAAGAGAAAAAAAAAAATGATTTGATGAAGAGAAGTAACCGGAAAAGAAAGCAAGAAGAGACAGACCGAATCCTTTATCCATCAGTTGTGATACTGGTGGGTATCCTCTACATCCGGAGTCCCGAGATTGAGACAAATCAGATGTCCAGATTTAAAAAGCAAAAACGACAGTTTGGAAAAAGATGAGAGAAGGCAACGCAAATACCTTATGGAGTAGTGTCCAAGACAAATGGAAGAGCATTGTATCCCTCACTGGGAACAGTAACAGGAACCTGATTGATGGAAGCCATGCAAATTAGTATCCAAACTTGCGAAGAGTGTATAAACTAAGATAAAGGACAGAAAAGGGAAAGGATAGAAGAAAACAAGAGAAGAAAACCACAAGTCGGATGAGCTTATTCGACTGGAAAGCTATTAGTGAAATGAGTGGACATATAACGCGGTTTCCGAAAGAATAAACAAAGTGTGCTTTGCTAAAGCCGTGCAACAAAATATTTAAGTAAAGAAGACTCCAAGGCCTTTAATAAAAGTAAAAAGAAAAAAAAATCCAGGAAAGATAATTCGGCAAAGATGTAAATGTTAGCTCTAGTTACAATATCGGCTAACGATTAAGTAAGACAGGGCTTATATTTCAAGTACAGAGGAGAGGTTATAAGTTTCTATTAAATCTATATGATAAAGTTAAGAGACAAAATACTACTGAAATCTTGAAAGTAAAAACTGAAAAAATATATCTCTATTCAATAGACAAACATCCCTCAGAAGAACACTTGAAAATGATTCGTGGTGTCTTCGTTTACAAGAAACAAATGTATTGTCTGATAACAAATAATACATTTTAGGTTCAAAACTTTCTTTTGTATTTAATTAATAATTGTAATTTTAAAAAGTTCCTGTGTTTAGAGACTACTACTGTTATTGGAAGAGGTTCGACCGTATTACATATCGAAACACGTGCATAATTTTTCCATAAATTAAAATATTTTCTTTGTATTATCGATTCCAAAACACAATCTTCTTTGTTTTTAATAAATATTATTAATTTCTTTATTATTTCTAGGANTAATGAAAAAAGTTCTAAATAAATGTCAAATATGAGGATTATACACTTTGCCTTCATTCTGTCTTTTTTATTTTTATTTTTATTTTTATTTTTTTTTTTTGCTCATCAGCGATTTGTGGCCCAAAACCCGATAATTTTTTCCAATGTGGCCCAGAGAGACTAAAAGGTTGGACACCCCTATTTTAAATGAACCCTAGTAATCTTTCATTATATTTAGAGACAGTATGTTTAACATCAAACATAGAGGGTACTGTAGTCTTATTACATGAAAGTTTGGCACTGTTAACTCAATTTCAACATAGGGAATGATTAGACTACTGTTGCACTCCTTCTTTGTTTTTAATAAATATTATTAATTTCTTTATTATTTCTAGGATCATACACATTTTTCTTGCCTAACAACGATGCATTTTGTCGATTGAGTCTCGATACTATCGATAGATGGCGCCAAGATAAACAATTATTACAAACCATCTTGAGAAATCACGTGGTCGTCGGAGGAATGCCTTTGGAAGAATTACAAAAAGGAGGTTTATTAGGTTCGAATTTGCTTAACGGCAACCTCAGAGTTAATAATAACGATAATGAGGTGAGAAAATTAATGTATTCAATTTCTTACTAAAAGCACCATCTAGCGACAATTATCAACACTATTTTTCTTCCTTTTCACAATGAAAACGAATAAAAATAATACTTAAAACGTTATTCAAAGCGGCCATTTTTTTATTAGTCACTTAACTTATTTGTTGCCATTGTAACAAGTGAAGCGTTATTGAAAATTAATTATTGAGATTTTTTAAAAACAAAATTTTGTTTTACAAATTTACAGTAAATCTTTCAACACTATAAATGTTGGAATGGATCATTTTTATTCTTTTCGAAATTTCCGCTGGTTCAATTCTATTTTAAACGGGGTTATTGGCCTTAACGGTTTCATTTTGAGGTTATCAAATACACCATCTTCGTTCAAGGTCGTTTTTGCTCTTACTGCCTTTTTTTTTTAAGTTTACTCGGCTACTTTTCGTCTTAAGTCTTGCTAATACAGACAGAAAGCAAGTCCTATCATTTAACCAGGTGATAGGACTTGCTAAACAGGATTCAATAGAACCATTTGCTGGGTCTTAAAACATTTTTTTTTTTTACACTCTACTTCCGAAGGTCGAAGTTGAAAATTTAGAAGTTTTACAAATAAGAGAAAATACTTCGTTTGAAGAATATATTTAATACAAAAATTAACTTACTTTTCAGACTTTGACCATAAACGGAGGAAGAATGGTATATGCTGATCTTGTAGGACCAAAGAATGGAGTCATTCATGTTATAGACAGAGTTCTTTTCCCTTTCGGGGATCGAAATTTGCTCCAAACTATCAAAGACTGTAATAAATTTGATGGATTCTTATCATTGGTCAAATTTGCGGAATTAAACGATATACTAACTGATGGTAAGTTCGTGCAATGTGAAGTCAAGTCCATAATTTTACATTCTTTCATTTCAAATACTTGTATGTAGGAATGTCATCTAATTGGGTAACAAAAGACATTTCCTTTTCGTGTTTGTGTTGTTGATAATTATGTGAGAAATTTAATGTAATAAAATTTAAATAATGAAAATTTATCACATATGTTTTACCATTTTAACATAAACATTTTGGAAAATATTTACATATCCTAACTTAAAAAATGAGTTTGTAATAAATTTTTATATTTTTTCCAAGAAAAATGTATGTGTTATAATAATAATAATTTTTGTATTTTTTTTTTATGTTTTTATTTCTATATTTAGTTGGACCTTATACTATCTTTTTACCTACCAACGACGCTCTAGCTAAAATGCCCAAGGACGAATATTCTATTTACAAATCTAACAAAACAGCCTTGAAAGGTAACGTTTTTCAATTAATATTTAACTAAAAATCCAGGGAGAAATATATTTAAAGTTTGTTTTCAGTTGTAATATTTAAAAAAAAAAACAAGAATTTGTAGTCTTTTTGCACATCCTTCACAAATACAGGAACACAATTAAAACATAATTATATTGTACTACAAAATTGTGTGTCTTCAGTTATAAATATGTAAATAAGAAAGTGAATAATTGCGAATACTACATTGTTTTTTCCCCTTTAAAACTTACAGATTTCCTCCTGTACCACATGGTATTCGGAGCTTACTTTAGTTCTGATTTAAGGGATGGTCATTACTTGGAAACAGGGCAACAGAGTGCTTCGATTCGAGTTAGTGTCAGAGTAGATGGATGCCAAAGTAGGTACATTTAATTTACTCATATTTTCATATGTAAGAGGAAAAAAAAATAATGTTTTTCTTTATGTGATAGGGCGCTTGGTAGAAGTAAATGCTTCTCCAGTATATCTGACTGATATTCCAGCATCTAATGGGGTCATTCATATTCTGGACTGGGTTCTATCACCCAATGACTTGGATTGGTGCAGCAGTTTTTCACCATAATATATGAAAAAAATTAATTTGTGGTTAAGATTCTTCCACAGTATATGAAGATTTAATAATTATTGTGAAATTCAGAAAATGTTTCTAACTTAAATCACTAAAGAGGGGAAAAGAAAAGTTTACTTATGTATTTTTTAACATATACATATATATATAATTTGATTTGCTAACGTTAATCTCTAATTATGACTATTTTCTATAGATTATTTTATATGTAATTTTTACTAAAAGAAGCAAGAATAATTTCAAAAAAAAAAAAAGAATTAACTTTATTCAAGTGCTACACACCGATTGTTAATGGTATGGATATGAACGATGAGGAAAAGTCATGAAAAATATCAATGAAATGAGATGGTGAGATTCGATGCCAAAAATCCAACCGACGATAAGAATATTCACCTTCACTCTGGCATCTGTAAAGAAAATATACATTTAAATTGTTTATACTTTGCTTTAGTTCAATTAAAATAACATAGAATTTAAATTTTATTGTCTTTCGTGAATTTTATTCTTCTCTCTACAAACAACCAGTGCATGGTCAACCACAACCACTCATTGCAGAATAGCTTAAACCGTAAAGGGACCAGATTCGGATGCAGATCTCATTTTGGTAAGCTAAAATCTTAATGTGTGACCCTCTTACCAATCCTCTCTCTAGTTTGTTTCACTGTTTCATTCCCTGTTTATTATTAGACTTTGTATATCTTCACCTATGTATACAGAATGATATAAAGAGGAAATGTAATAAATGAATACTCAAACAATACAACAGAAATACTTGTGGCTTTTTCACCAATAAAAGTTGAGAATCAAAGTCAATCAATTAGCGTTAATTTTATTTTATGTAACCTACGTGAGTTCTGATTGGTTAACACAACTTCGACTCTCAACTTTGTTGGTGAATACAGCGAGTGTTGTCTAAACAGTTTAAGAGAATGAGTTCTCTCCCTATTATCTGCAAACTTTTTTTATTTAAGCATCAAGTAAAGAAGATAAATTTATATTTTTCAAAAATTAGAATTTCTAAAATAATTCAAAATATTGAGAGGGTGAATTTAAAATTTTACATAAAAAATTTAGTTTATGCTGGAAATTAATTTAATGCTGGTGAGCCATTATATTTTAGTTTAATTGCTGCCACTTTGAACGAATTCAGATGTGTATATTTTATGCAAAAAATATGCTGCTTTCGAAAGTGCATCATGTAATTGCCAGAAATACTTGAAGATATGCCAATTATTCTGAAAAAAAAAGTTATAGTAGGTTAGAAGTACCTTGGTACTTCTAACTAAGCTTTAGAATAAGGATGCTTATAGCTTTTAATCTCTAACTGTTGGCACTAAAATGCAAATTTGTGTGTCATTGAACAATGTATGAAGATTCCGAACTATCAAGTTGATAATCTTTTTTAATTTTTTAATGACTATTAAATAAAAATAAGTATTTTTTGCAAGCTAAATTAACTACTATATAATATTTTATTTATAAGCAAAATTCTATATAAAGTTAATATTGTCTTATTACTATATGACCTTGTATGTCAATCTATCGAATGATAAAAAGCTGTACTTGCAAAACGCACCTCTAGTTAATTTTAACATTCTACAGGGCTAAAAATGATTAAATTCCCAGCTGAGATAACTATTAAGTATAAACTGGAAGAGATGAGGAGGAGTCCGAGCCTGTCACAAACTTTTTAGGGCCGTATATCTGGGATCCAGGCTAAAATGACCGTGATGACTCCATTTATTTTTGCCTGTATTAATATTGTATATAGTGTTAATCAACCCAAAAAATTCAATCTTTACTTATTTTTTGTATCAATTAAGATCAGGCTCTATTAAAGGACTATCTGGGCCTTACGTGAATTAGTTCATTTCTTGTGAATTAACTTTCTACATTTTACTAGATTTTATTCTTATTTAAAAAATATAATGCAACTGTTTTGTATTTTTAATATATTGGAAGGCTCAAAAAGGTAAGTGGCCTGGCCTTTCTGAGAAGTAACAGTTAACTTTATTTATTTAAAATTATTTTAATTTGATTTTTATACGACGATACACAGATATGGCTGATAACGATGCTATGAATTAAAATGGAGCGTATGAAAAACTATAAAACTAAGTCAGGAGTGAAATCTTGATTTTATCAAAGGGGTGCAAGTTTTGTGAACTGCATGAACCTTTTCCTTTAAAGCATATACCTCAAATTTTATATTCATCTGTAATTTAAATTTAAAAATGATTAAAATTTAAGGAGTGAATTAGACAATATTTCTCAGTCCTGCTGCATATTCTGAGCTATCAGAAAGCACATGCAACCCTTAGAAAGCTGAATTTAGACTTGTGGCCCTACGCCACAATATATAAGGGACATTTCCTCCTTCACCATATAACAGTGGAATAAGCAATTTGTATAAACTGTCTTTGAGAACAGAACGAGGCCCTAAGCTAAGCTTATTTAGCTTGTGTTTAAGTTCTGCTCTGGTGACCCTTGCTAATTTCGTTGTCAATATTCAAAGAGATATGTCTTCTACAACCGAATACTTTGCAAATTTAACAATGTTACAAAAGTTGTAACAAAATAAATAATTTGGAACAAATATTTTTAAGGCCTCTGAAAATGTGAGGCCCGAGCCAAATGGTCCTTCTGGTCTGTGCCAAAGCTTAATTTAATATATTAAGAAAGTTTATTTTCGTTGTAATCTGCATATTTAATAAACTAAACAGTTGCCTTTAACTATAAATTAAGGAAATAATAAATAAATAACCCTATTTTATATCTCTAACATTCCCTGCAGTATTTTATTACGTAAGTTCTCTTAAACAATAGAAAATTTAAATGTTTCTAATTAAAAAAATAATTTAATTAATTTTGTATTAAAATTGCCTTAATACTTAAATATTTTTCTCTTCATTAACTTCAAACTTTTCTTCGTTTACAATTAAAACAACATTATCATTAAAATACCAAATAAAGAATCTTTGTAGAAGAGTTCAAAGTTCGATTTAAATTTAAGAACTGTTAATAAAAAATTTCCGTGACAAGGGGAGGTCGTTTTCTATCCTGGAGGCAACTCAATAAATAAATACATTTAAAAAAACACCAGAAACATAAAAAAAATCATAACTTATTCATGAGAGGAATTACCCTCCTCGGACTGAATATCTGTTAAAAAATTGAAATTTTAAGCGAATTATAATAATAAAAAAATTAGTTTTAACCTTAAAAAACAATTATTTAGTATCATTCATCAATTTTTTCAAGTAAAAAATAAATATATATATAATTAATGTTTAATAGAAACAAAAAACAATACACGGAACGTTCCTCGTCCTTAACGAAAGAGAAAGCTTATATAAACGTATATATACAGCGCGTTAAATATAACTTTAAAGAAAATGGCGAACAGAGTAGGAGAGGTTATTTAGCCGTTCTTTCCTTCCTTCCTCCTATTCAACAACTTGGAAGTACTAAAGTCGTGTATTATGCGTCATTTCCGGCGACGAGAAAGATGTATTGTACATAAGTATCTAAAAGCGCGCGACGGTGCAGTCATCGACATATAAAAAGGCCCAACTGGGTTACGTTTGGCGGGAGATACCAGAAAATAAGAAATAAAAAAAAAGATAGCATTAACGATCGATAGGGTGAAAGTTTGCAACGAGTGAGTAACAAAATGGCGACTCGTGCACTTATAAACATGACAGAGAAAAAAATATATATAATAAGTGAAATATGACTTACATTAAGTCTTCCTCTTTTTAGAACTCTTGCTCTTGCTTGCGGGTCTTTTCCGTTTTGTTGCTCTGGATGCCTTAGGCTTTGCTGTTTTCTTGCCACTAGTTACATCTGACTGGGTGTCGGCGGGTACATCGGAAGTTACGATGTCTTCGCTTTTTTGATCCGATTTATTTTCTTCTTTCTTCTCGCCAGCGTTCGATTTTTTACTACTTTTAGCCGATTTCTTGGGTCCCATTTTGTCCAAAACGACACAAAACTGTCGACGGTCAAAACAGCTTACGACGCGAACTTCGTCTAATTTTAGTAACAGCTGACGTCACCGAGATATCTGCCAAGAATGTCACGTGGTACGGAAATGGATAAAATCCGTTCGAAAATATTATACCAACGTGCTTAAATATTATTATGTTCGACGATTTTGTATATACGCTTTATATTGCGCTTGTACTTATGTATTTATATACGGCGCTAACCAATCGGGGATATTGGTATTATAAGGTTCATTGTTTTACTAAACGACAGTGAATTGATCTAAATAGTTGAAAAAAATGTGTTCTATTTTAATCGTGTATTAATTAATGTTTCGTTTAAATGAGGAAATAATGTTTTAAATTGTTATAAATTTGCTAAATTTTTTTATTCGATGAGCTTATTCGTCAGTATAACTTATGTGGAGATGGAAACACTGTATCTGTATATACAGAATGTACACTGTGATAAGAAAAATGGAAGAAAATCAGCTATAAATTATAGTGTTTTTATATATAAAAATATTCATTATGAAACATTATATAGAATTATTAACATAACTGAAGTTATATTTCACAATTACCACTGAACAAGTTCATTGTGATTGGATAATTTTTAATTAAAATTGTTTTTAAAATCATCAAAAATACTTTCCAAAGTTTTTTTTCAATAATTAACTCAAATTATATCAATCTTTATGGTAATGGCTGCACTAGAGACAACAAAGTGTAACTATAAAGATTAAGTTGAGATTTATAGCTTTGCAATAAGAGTTAGAACATGAATTAACTATAATCGATTACTTTTGAATAACAATTTTTATTTTTTTTTTCCCTTGACTATGCGCCTGAATGATGTTATGAGACGCACACAACTACAGATGTCATTTCAAATCAGATGTAAAACAAGCACATATCTGATAACAGACAATTACAAAGTATTAAATGAATAGGCAATGCATCTACTATGATGATAATTTACAGGAAATGGCTCAATCTTTAGGCTCAAATAAAACATTTTTTTTTCCCTCTGGACAAACAGTTACTGCCCACATGTTTCGCAATCGATGGGACATCCAACTTGCAACTTAGGTGGGCGCCCATCGCAGATAGAAACATTTTTTACCCCAAGTCTCAACAACAGGCTTCCATGGTGTATAGGAATTCGTCGTCACCTTACACAAAAAAATGACTAATCTGTGTGACACTCTGAAATTAAAAACAAATTCCAGTAATCATAACATTAAATTTCTAAAAATACTCATTTTTAGAAACACATTTCATTCTAAAACAATTTTGTATTATCATCAATACAGCAATACTGCCGAGATAACCATTTTTTTGATTGAGTAGTATATTGGAAATGAACATTCATAACATAAATGAACTAAATACACTAAACTACTATGAATCTTATGTACTGTACAAGCTCTGTTCATAAGTTATTAATGACAATAAATATGCAAATAAAAACAACATAAATATTATAAATACATAAAATTTCTGAAAATTTTCTAATTTAGATTACATTTCTTACACAGGACATAATTTATTTTCAAATATTGAAAATATTTCAAATTATATATTAACGTGTTAAACGTGTCTAACTGTTAATATATGCTTAAAAATAAAATAAAACGAAAAGCATATAAGGAGGTTTATATTAAAAGAATCATCTCTCATATATATATATTTACACATAAGTTAATAGTATATTTATATATATTTTACATTTCCTCATTTCATTCTTATAGATATTTATATATATAACTTTTGTAAGATAACTTCACATGACAATGTCAAAGTTCCTTAAACTATCTTAAATTTGTTCATACAATGTCTTGATTCAAGATACCATATACAAGAAAAGCAAATATTAAAATAAAACCAAAATTTTCATATACTAATATAATATAAATGAGATTTCATTATAAAATTTTCAAGTTAAACATATTTTCTTTTTTGTAATAATCAATTTATGTTCATGATGATTTTAATTCTGTGTATGTAGTTATATATTGCATATTCTGCTTTTTCTGTGTCAATGCTTGCAAACTGTACGAAGTTGGATAAAATATGAAAATGACCATTGTCTGGTGATCTGAAATAAAACCAATGGCACAAAACAGGTTTGATTTGCCAATATTTTAAGAACATGTGGGCTGATTGAAGATGAATCAAATAATTATAATCATTATAATGGAAATTTGATTATTCCAAATAGGAAGAATAAAATTTTCTAACATATCCTCATACAAATTGTGGCTTGTAAATTCATATAAACAAATGGAAATATACAATGAATAGTGCTAGACTATTTTAAAGAATAAAGCAAATGTGGTTCACAACCACTTAAACCCATTCCTATCCATTTCTTTTGAAAAAAATGCTAAATATATTTTATGAATAATTGATGTTTACCAAATTACTATCATTAAAACAATAAAAGATTTTCATAAAGATTGCTCTGAAATATTTAATTCTACCCAAAAATGCACCATTGCCGTTGTTTTTTTTTACGTAACTCATCTAACTTAATGTACGATATTTGTAAAAGTCACTGCACATTTCAAATTCTAAACAACATTCAAACTTCACAATGGTTGTAACACAATATTGTCAAATGATCTATCATAAAATAGCTTCAATTCTGACAGTGTAACAACATCGAAGGGAATGAACATTAAGAGATTCAACAATGTTAATAATATTTACAATTTTTTTTATACATTAAAGAACATATGAAAGATAATAAAATGACAAAGTAGACATAAATTTAAATAGTCAATTCTTCCAAATTTTTTATCACAAAAATGAATAAATGACTTTATTAGTTTTTGCTGATTGAAGCTTGCTTTCTTTTTTATTTACTAACTTTAAGGTAACAGTAAATTAATGAATTAATTTTTTCCTGATTCAATTATATTCCATTTGTTTAATATTAAAAATAATTTCATCTTTTGAGAAATGGAAAAAACTAAGAAATTTAAATACAAAGTAAGTGATTGTCATCTTGACTGAAGTTGTATAGAGAAAAGAAAAAAATAATTTACTTGTTTTGATAAAAACTAGAAATTTGATTTATATAAACTATTTTTTTAAAAAATAAAATATGAAGTATTTAATATTTAAATATAAAATATTCAAAAATTATGTATATGTTATTGATATGGTCAATCTAGATTAATTAAATTTTGAAATATTCCTTGACATTGTTCCCAAACTCAAATTTTTTTGAAAGATTCTACTTAAATCTTTTCTTCTGTACATTTTTTTTTTGTAATGAAATACGTGTGAAAAATTAATTTTCTGATATGATGATAATAATATAAAATGTACGAAAAAAACTAATAGTAAATGCCAATTTTCACTCCATCTTGCTAAGCCAATTCTACAATGCCTATATTCTAATTATATGATAAATTAAATAAATTTATATTTAAAGTAGGATTTTTTTTGATGTATGTACAACAATTGATGAAGAGAAATGTCTACATTTTGTTAGGTTCACTGATGGGCACAGGTATAGCAGGAGCACATTGTTTGATAGCTTCTTCATAACTTGGGGGAAGATCCTGTTAAAAAATAAGAAAAAATTAAAGATTAGTATATTTTAATGATATTTATATTAACAAACAGTTTAATTTATTATTTTCTTCTAATAGATAAAGAAAAATATAAATTCTTTTTTTTTGTAATTTGTTGTACAAACACTATATACAGTGAGTTTGGAAAATCACAGCACACTTGACATATGTTTCCTTTTAAACAATTTGAACTGAAAAAATTTCTATGCAACAAACTGATAAATGCAATGAAGATACAGCTTTTATATTCTCACCATAATACAAATCAATATCTTCTCATAAATATACACAATTCAGTTTTAATGACATTAATGTCATTAGAAACAATTTGGATATTCACTGATGATTAGTCTTACTTGTTAGTAACAAATATCATGTTCAGCCATGAACATACTAAATTAATAAATACAATTAAAAATGCCATGATTGGTCAAAAGGAAGTACAGCATTAGTTTTATTATTTTATTAAGAAATTTAGAAAAGAAATTAATCATAAAAGATTTATAAAAGGAAAGATGCTAAAAAAAAATGTTCTTGATGAAATAATGGAACATACAAAGTTTAACTTTAATTTATTCAACTTTATAAAGATTGCAATGAAAGTTCTTGGTCATATATATATATATATGACCAAGAACTTCCATTGCAATCTTTATAAAGTTTAAATCTTTATACACAAATATATATATATATATATATATATATATATATTTGTGTTTTTAAATTTTGCCTGTTTTATTCATCTATTTGTTTTTATAATGTTTAGTATTTTTGGTCATTTACTGTTTCTAGAATTATAGCTATTATTTAGCAGAATTTATTGTATCAGGTAAGAGTCAGCTTTAAAATCTCTTTCTATCACAATAATATCCTACTGATTTATAATCCAAGTGTTAAATTGTTGACAATGATATAATCATTCTACCTAAAAATCATTTGATGGTATGTTGCATGTTGAGATTGTTCAAAATATTATGCTTACTTTAAGAAATTTAAATCAGTTTAAGTTGTAAAACTAGTTTAGCTTCTGAAGTGCTGAATTAGGTTTATACCATGATGATTTGAAGTTAAAAGATTACATACGAAATTAAATTTGTAAAATATTTAAAGCTTTGTGATTGAATAGCAGTTTTGAACAGAATCAGATATTCTTCTATTATTTTCTCTGTTACTTTAAAGATTTCATGCAATTTTAAAAATGCTTTCAAGGTTTTAGTTTTAAAATTTCATTACAATCTGAATATACTTACAGTCATAGTAACAGAAGTATTAGTTTATTTCCTAATTTTATTTATGTTTTATTTTGTTTAACATAGCAAATATTTGTATTAAGCAGACTATTTGTTTAGTGTAGTCTGACTTAATGTAATCAATAAAAATTTTTTAGATAACAGAGAAAATTGAGTTAGAAATTGATGTTATTTGTATTTAACAACATATCAATAAAACTAATTCAGAAAAAAATGATGACTTTAATTGCTTTATATCTTGCCATATCTGCTGTTTATCTGGTTTACAAGATAAACCAATAGCTCATTTAATAATAATAGATCAACAAAGACTTTAAACATGACTATTCCTAAAGTTTAATTTCACATACTCAATTTCTCAACATAGTTTAATAATTAGTTCAACTCATCATTCTACATTTAATATGATAAAATAATATGACATATCTGTGAATATAAGACTTTTTCAACATGGGAAATAAATTCAAATTCATCAATATAAAAGTAAATAATACATAATTTTAGAGTGATAAAATGATAACATTTAGAATATAGTACAAGGCTTATTTATTGAATCTGCCTTGTACTGGTTTTCTAAGTAGTGCTTCTAAAAAAGTAGCATATACACAAGTTTTAGACTAATAAGATTGAAAGTATATAAATAATGCAGCTCTGTACCAATAGTCATTCCTACCAGATAATGCTTGTTTACACTGTGATTTACAAAAGAATATTGTTCATATCAAACTGCAATAGAATTTACAGCAAGTAGTTATTCAATTTTTCACAACCAAAGGCATTAGACATGGTGAGATCCATCTTAGGTTTGGCAAATCATGCATATTGCTGCAAAAAGTTTGCAAGTGGGTTCAAAGCTTCAATGAAGGCTGAATAAAGAGAAAACAGGTTGTGTCTTGGCAGTCTGATTATTGTAAACACATCTGGCACAACTCATCAAGACAACAATCTTATCAAAGGTGATAAGGGCATTACCATTACTAAAGTGGTGTCTTTATAAACATGAACATTGGCTATACTTATTCCAATATCCATGACACACTCATCTATTGAATCATCTACTGAGAGGTTTGCTCCAGATGAATGCCAAAATGATTTGCAGCAGGGCACAAGAAGTGATATTGAACTGTGCATGAAATCTCTCTACTGGTTCAAGACAAAAAGGGATGAGTTTCTAAGGAGTTGCTACAAACATTGAGACAGGCATACCATTAACCTTTCAGCAGTGGGTTAGTTAGGTATGGTGCTATGCCTATGTAGTGGAGAATAAACATGGGAAATTTTTAAAGTATTTTCCCCATACGTTTTTTCTCATTACCACTTCAGAAAAAGATTTTGTAAACAGTTATGGTTAGTAAAGAAAAGTCTTTTTTTTATTGTTACATAATTCCTTTTTTATGTAAATTTTTTTTCTCGGTAGTTTTTGGCAAATCGTGTGGCATGGTGAATGACAGCTATATCCACAAAAGAATTTTGTGGATATAGCTGTCATTCACCATGTCACACGATCGCCCATGATAGATATATCCGTCGGTCACTACTGAATGGTTAAGAACCAGAATGTAAGAGAGACTATTTGTCTCCTTCTCCACCCAAACAGTTCAAAACAGCTTTCTCCATGGGAAAAGTGAAGGTTCACTTTTTTGGATGTCAAAGGTCATATTCTGGAATATTATCAAGAAAAAAGAGTTAGTGTCAACACAGCTAGATACCATGAGATGTTTTCTAAAGAACTGAGACCTGCAATCAGAACCAAATGCTGAGAATGTTGTTGCAAGGGGTTATTTTTCATCACAATAATGTAACATCCTATAAAGTGAATGTGACCAAAGATACCATCTATAAATTGAGATTTGAGATTCTTCCCCCACCCATTATATAGTTACGATCTCACAACTTGTGATTTTCATGACCTTGGTCCCTAAAGAATGCACTGAAAGGTCAATTTTCCCCCAACAATAATGTTGTAAAGGCAACATTGAATATTTGACTGTGGATATGCCCAGAAACTTTTTTCTATGATGGCATTCAAAAGGTAGACCATTGCAGAAAGTATATTGAGAAGGGAAAGAATTCATTTTCCTACAATAAAGATACTAATCTTATTTATTCAATCTGCCTCAAGTATAAAAAGAAAAATCATATCTGGCTGGAAATTTTCTGAATCAGATAGGCAAATACACAAATAAAATCAATTCATAGAAAAAACAGTTTATTAAAAAACTGATAAAAATGTAAGCTACAAAATCAAAACTTAAACATTTTAATAAAATTAGTATGCAGATATAAATGTCTCTGTGTGGATATTTTGTTTGATAATCTGCATTGTTAAATTACACTAAATTGTTAAAAAAAATAATCACACTTAGTTTAAATTATAAAATTTAATTATAAACAATTATTATTTAATTTATTCATTATTAATTATTCTTATTAAAAAAATCTTAATTTAATTTATAATAGTTTTTAGTAAAAGATTTTGAGTATATGATAAAAGTAAATAAAACTACTTACTTCTACAGGAAGGCAGTCTTCAAGTGGTGGTGGTGGTGGCATAATGATAGGTGTTCCATTAATAACAGGATAGGTACCTGAAAAACAAAAATATGGAAAATATAAATATATCTAGACATTAAGATTTACAATTATATTTCCATTTTTTTTTTTTTTTAATTCAAAATACTTTTTACATAAAGTCATTTGTTTTATGTTTTTACTTTAAGTAAAGTTTAACTATCAAATACAAAATAAAAATATTTTTATACAATAATTAAAATCAAGAATCAATTTTAATAAATATGAATTTTATTTTTTAACATTTTAAATTTTATTTCAGCAATAACTTTTTAAAGTTATATGATTATCTGTTAGTACAAAAATGTTTTAGGACTGCTTTGTAACTTTAAAGAGAAATATTATTGGGTATAATGGACTATATGCTCATCAACCTTAACCAAAAATATATTTATTAAATCTAATGTTTTTGAACAAAAACAAGATTTAATAAAAAAAAAATGTTTTACTGGTTAAGAGTGTTCAGTTATGTTATGATATGAAAGTCCAGTTTTGTGAAATGTGCATGTTTGCTCATCATTAAGAATGCAAATGATTTATTGCCTGCATTCTTGGTGATGCACATTTATAATTAAAAAATCATTCAAAATCTTTTATTTTCTCATTAATTAAATTCTGAATCTTAAAACTTTATTCTAAAGATGTTACAGGGTATGCTTTCTCCCAAATAATAGTAATGGGTGCTGTTCCAGTGAGTGCTGTCTTAACTGATTTATCATATCTTAATTGTTAACATATGTTGCTTCTCGATAAATTAATAATTGGATTGCAGATTTTTGAAAATGTAATCACCTCAGGTAATTATGCATATTACAATATCATCAGATATTGTAATATGCACATTTGTGTTAGCTCAAAGCCTTTTTACATTTATCAGAATGTAATAGCATAGTTATAAAAAACAAGTGAGATGTCTGGTTACCTTAAATATAAGTCAAGTTATAATCTATAAACTATTCTCTGTACTCAAACATAATAATAGAAACTTTAGGCAGACATTTTCAAGAAAATATAAAAATCCTTGATTCAAACACTTTATATTTGCATTTAAAATAGTCCAATAACAAACAGATAATACTTGATATCTACATTTATTATGGTAATCAGTTCTAATAGTAATATGTGATTTCAAAGTTGAGAGAAAGTATTCATTTTTGAAACATGGAAAGACACAAAGAAGATTACTCAGAATCTCAATGTATTCCATCAATACTGTCTTCAAAGGATACTTAGAATTACATATAATGACTGTATCAGAAATGAGGAAGTCATCAGAAGAAATGCCTACATGAACTACAAGACATTGTTACAGAGTGTAGAATGTGTTTCACAGGACAAGTATTTTGTTTACCAGAAGAATGCTTACAAAAAGTAGCCTTAATTGGAAACCATGCAGTGGAAAAAGGAAACAAAGTATGAACAACCTGGTGTTCTACATTAAAGAAGATCTAAAGAAAGTTAGTATTTCATGAGATGATGTTGAAACCACTGCAGCTGACCAAATTTGCTGGAAACAGCTGATTGTCCAGCATATTGCTTATCACAGAAGGATCTATGACTAAGACATCTCTCAATAAACATCTATTCTTAGAATAGCAAGAAAATAATGATTAATTAAGAAAGGAAAAAAATATTATTATTAAACTATTTAAAATAAATTGTATTGAAGCATAACTGCTTTAAATATTATGTATTCCAGACAAACAACTAATTGCATAAGTTTCAGCTTTGAACAACACATTGCTTAAAAGCATCAAAACTTCAAACATTTCATTAAGATGAAATAATTTTCTTCACAATTCTTCTTTTAAATAATTAAATATTTTACAAATGCAAAGACTTCTCTAAATTATTAATAATAAAGTGAAAAAACTGAAAATAAAATAGTAAATGTAACTGAAAATTAAATACATAAAAGTTGAAAACAAAAAATTAAATTTAGCTTTAGAGTTAAGTAAGGCATCGTAAAATATTTACAGTACATTAAGATATCAAAATTAGTAATAAGTGATTAATATTATAAATAACAAAATCAGAAATAAACAATAACATTTAATGGGAAAAACACCATTAAATTTGACAAAATTCAATTCATACAAAATTATACTGCTATATCAATAAATTACTAAATGATGAGTGACAAAGATTTCTCACATTGTACAATGCCAAATAAAACTTTGAGAAATTTGTTAAAAAATGATACATATGCTATAGTATTGCTAACAGTTATCTTGCAATAAGCATATGAAAATGTTTCCATTATTTTGAATCATCATATATTACATTAACTTTGGTCCAAGCCACACATTATTATGGTGTAAAGATCTTAATAGTAGAGGAACTGAATCTTAGGATAATTGAATAAAAATTAATCTAATACAAATACAACAACTGTAGTGTTTTATGGAATGTTTGTACTTGAATTAATAAACTTGTTATTAAAGATTTAACAGTTACATTCAAATGAAAATAATAAGATAGAAAACATCACAAAGAATAAATAGACAGCTTAGGTAACAATGCAAGCTTTCATTAAACACATAGCAAATGCAATGGCAATGCATGTCACCAATAGACATCAACAGGTTAAAAATTTAAAAATAATTTGATTAATGTGATTTATGACGCTGTTAAGCAAAAGGACCTCTAAAGATTAAACTTGACCACCTTGACACCCTTACAGAACCAGTTGGGAACTTACCACCTTGAAACATCTTAACAAATTCATGTACTGTACCTGGAGAAGGATTTAATTCAAAAATTTTTACTTCTGTTCAATAAATAAAAACATATATTAAAGCATGAATAAATTTATTTACCTAAACCATTCAAAGCAACTGATTCATGAGGATGTTGTGAATCTTCTCTTCGGAATGTGCGACCATTTTTTTTCCTAAAATATAAATTATATTTCACATAAATTCAATAAAGTACATATATATTATAATATATTATTATGAATATAACATGATTTCAATAGAAGTAATTTAGGTAAAAATTATTGTTGTTCAATTATTTTATTAAAATAATCTACAGTAGAGCGTCGTTTATCCGAATCAATTGGGGACTGGGGTTGTTCGGATAACTGATTATGTATGAAAAAATATATTAACCCATCCCATGTTTAAACTTTTCTCCATTGCGTGTTGCTTCACATTTAATTTTCATTGATGTTAAGCCTAATGTAAATTTTTTAAAATAATAATCGTGGCTATTGTATTGTTAAAAATTATTTCTTTATTTTGTACAAACAAAATAAATATATTGAAAAATATAAAAACAAAAAATTATATTTTGGAAGCTAATCTAGTTGGAAGTTCGATTCAGTATGACACAGTCTGACTGGAATGCTTTTGTTTTGGTTGATCGGCTTTTGGATAAACAACGCTCTACTGTATTCTCCAAATAATTATTCAATGAAATGCATTTACAGCTAATTATTCCACCATCTACAAAATTAACTACAAAATAGTAAAAAGAATCTTTCATTTATAAAATTCCATTACTAAATCTGAAAATAAATTTAAAATCAAAAATTCTGTCTCAATATTCTATTAAAATTAAAGTTCAAAAGAAAAATAATCTTTGATTATTATCTTTTTTTTTATATATATATATAAGATTTCATTATACTTTTAATCATATTAGAAAAACAAATATTTGTAAATATTCTGCTTGGTAAAACTTTCATAAAATTTCTCAAAGAAGTTATTTATATGTACTGTACTTTTCATGAAAATACTAAGTATTTTTGGGCCATCTCAATTTAGTTACAGAAGAAAATTTTGCCATTCTAAAATAGATTTCTTCTCTATCACATCAAGTTGTTATACAATATCTTTTCTAAAAGATGTAGCAATGATAGCTATAGTGATTTTTCAAAACAAATTTAAACTCTAATGTTGATGTTAGAAAGATACATTTTTTCTTTATCATCAGTAACATTAATTCAACATAAACAGCAATTATAGTAATGTTACAGATAAAATATTCTATTTGAATCTATATTAATATTTTAAATTTGTTCTAAGATATCTAAACTTATTCAGCTGATCACAGAAACATGGTTTATACCACAGCCTTCTGAAAATTTTATTTAAGATAGGAATTTTTGAACAGTGGAAGTCTAATCCATGAATCAAAAATCAGTAATAAAAGCCATGGGTTAGACTGCTAGAGGCAAGTCTAAACCATGGTACAAATAGTCAAATGCATGATATACAGCCAAAGAAATAATCATTTTAGTTTCTTAATTCAATTTAACTTAAAAATGGATGTTTATAATACATTTTACAAGGAGAGCCTACGGCTTTGGGGTAACGGATTTTGATGATCTTTGGTGTAGAGGTAGTACACGATGTGAGTGTACTACCTGTAAAATACTAAAGTGCAATACTCAAATATAATCGAGAAAATCGAACTTAAAGTTTTGTTAGCACTTTATATATAAATTATACGTATTTCTATTCGAGCGTCCTGTGGCAGAGTGGTAACGAGTCTGATTCGTAAGCTTGAGTTCTCGGGTTCGATTCTCGCGTATAATTTTTTTTTTAATTCATAAATACTTATAATGTATTTATTTATTTACTCATTCATTTATTTCTTATTATTTATTTATTTTAATTTAATTTCTACTATTCCAAGTCTAATATTTTTATACTTTTGTTGACAATAACGGCGCATTCTTGACACCTATGTGTCAACTTTCCCATCTAATTGTTATCACTAACGGTGACCGATCTAATTCTCACTAGGAGCGTTTTTTCTATCGGAGTTCTTTTTCACTCACTCTTTAACAGTTCGTTTCTAAATTTCGACACGAATAGACGTATTTGTGTAGTAAAACTTATTTTGAAAAATTATTTTATAATCAAAAAATGTCGTCAAGAGAAGCAAGTTCTTCACGTTGTGACGAAAAAACTGTTGATGATAACTCTTTATACAGTGATGTAAAATACTAACTTGTAAAGTGCAAAACTCAAATATAACCAAGAAAAACGAATATAATTTATTGAAGCAATATTATATAATTACATATCATTGTCAGATGTACATGATCGTGAATGATACTTATGATAAAAACATTCAAAACAAAAATTCTGTCTACACCAAGAACAACAAATAAATGCTGCTTTTTTAAAAGGTATCATCAACAGTTTTTTCGTCACAACGTGAAGAACTTGCTTCTCTTGACGACATTTTTCGATTATAAAATAATTTTTCAAAATAAGTTTTACTACACAAATACGTCTATTCGTGTCGAAATTTAGAAACGAACTGTTAAAGAGTGAGTGAAAAAGAACTCCGATAGAAAAAACGCTCCTAGTGAGAATTAGATCGGTCACCGTTAGTGATAACAATTAGATGGGAAAGTTGACACATAGGTGTCAAGAATGCGCCGTTATTGTCAACAAAAGTATAAAAATATTAGACTTGGAATAGTAGAAATTAAATTAAAATAAATAAATAATAAGAAATAAATGAATGAGTAAATAAATAAATACATTATAAGTATTTATGAATTAAAAAAAAAATTATACGCGAGAATCGAACCCGAGAACTCAAGCTTATGAATCAGACTCGTTACCACTCTGCCACAGGACGCTCGAATAGAAATACGTATAATTTATATATAAAGTGCTAACAAAACTTTAAGTTCGATTTTCTCGATTATATTTGAGTATTGCACTTTAGTATTTTACAGGTAGTACACTCACATCGTGTACTACCTCTACACCAAAGATCATCAAAATCCGTTACCCCAAAGCCGTAGGCTCTCCTTGTTAGATATTTATGATGGATTAAATCAACAAGAACAAAGAAATAACAAAATAATAAAAGTTCAATAAATATAGTGGAACTAGTTAACTGAAAATCACATTTACTCAAAGACATTTTCTTCCCCCAATCATCTAGGATAGAAATTTACATGTTAAATCAGTAGCTTATTTAACCATTTGAGTTTATGGACAACATAGATGTTTACATTGATGCAACTATTCTATGTAATAAGAGAGACAGAAATATTTTTGTATGAGTAGTTATTATAGCTCACCAATAAACCAATGCACAAAATCTTGATGTTTAGCCAAACTTCCATAGCTTGGAACTTTTTAACTCAAAGTCTGAATTTTTTTTCCTTAACTGATTAGAGTTAACCAGGTTCTACTGTGTTAAGGAATAAAACAAATTCACTCAAAATTTATTCTGATATTGAATTTTGAAATACAGTAGAGCATCGATTATCCGACCCCCGATTAACCGTCACATCGGTTAACTGACCGTTCTAGTCGTCAAATTTCAAATGTCCGCTAGTGATGTGGCATTACAATATTTGGCTATGTCTTGGCTACTTTAATATTATTTTTGTTAAATTTTTGCGTGTTTTAGCTGGCATCAATGGCTCGACCATTGAAGGGAGGCCAGTATTTAAACGAGACTTAATTTTCTAATTATGAGTGGTTGTTTGTTTCGTGAGCAATAAAATAATTTTAAAATAATTTTTAACGATACAATAGCAACGATTATTATTTAAAAAAAAAATTTGTTAGGCTAAACATTGATGAAAATTCAATGCGAAGTTGGTTAATAGCAATATATTAATAAACTAATTACATGGGATATACTAATATCCTAATATACTATACTAATAATGTATTTTTTCTCTTCTTTTTGGTTATCCGACCAACCTGAGTCCCCATTTGAGTCGGATAATCAATGCTCTACTGTAGATTTAAAATATGGATTTAGGTATATTTTACATAACATACAGCGTGAATTTCAACATTTAAATAATTGAGATTCATCTTAATATCTGATTGACAACTATTACTATATTTAATAAAAAGATGTGAAAAATAAATGTACACAATTAACATATATTAATTTTTATATAGAAACATTTTTACAAAGTATCAATTAGTAACAATCTTTCAATTGCCACAGACTTTAAGCTACTTTTATGGTAGATGACACACATTTTCTATTTGTCATATTCCTTATCCTGTCTTGCTGGGTGGGCCTTGAGTTTTTTTGCTGACTTTACTACATGCATGCTCATGTTTTCCACTACTTTCTCTGACATAATCAAAAAGTGTTGATTGGTTAAAAATGTCAAAGCAATAGGGAAGAGCAACTTTAAATGTACAGCATCCATTAAGCCATTGTTCTTACTTGTTTGTGAAACGTGATTTAAGTCACAAGTTCGCAAGACCATGATTTTAATCTCAAATCTTGGGCTAGAAGTCTTCATTTCTGTAATTGGCCCATTAGTGTTTGAATAAATTTTGATAGTTAATAATGCTTGTTTTTCAATAAAATTAAGGCTTGATTTCATAAAAGATTTTTTGTTCTAAATTTTAATTGCAATTACTCTGCACAACATAAAAAAACAATTAAACTTCTTTTTTCTTTTCTGAATTATCTCTATTATTCTTATTGAGTTATTATTCTTATTTTTAAATTATTATTTTAATCAAATAATAATAAAAATAACTTTANCATTCAACCATAGATGGTGCTCCATTGGTGGCAATGCTGGATAGTTTGTCAAAGTCCAGTGCTGATTTGTTGCAAACGCTCAATAAACCAGTAAGTAAGTCAGCACCAGTTGAATGTCCTGATAGTGATGCCATGTCAAGAAATTCTTCATTCACAATAAAATCTAGTGAAACACTTCTAATAAACACAATCACTTGTGCTGTTGATGATATGTCAGTGGATTCGTCCACAGCCAAAGNTTAAACAGAAAAAATAAATATATTCAATAAAAATCTTTGTTTTAACGAATATGCAACGTCGTGGCTCGGTAAATACGTCAATACTGAAATGAAAATCAGTCTGGCATAGGGAAAACCAGGGAATTACACAGCAAAATCACAAATTGTGAATCGGCGTAAATTGAACCAGCGTAAACCGAGGGCTACCTGTACATATGTAAAAAAAGCATGCAGTAAGAAAGCAACATAGGTATAAGCATGACTCAAATTGCATTATCTTAATTTCAGTGAGTCAGTAAGACTAGAAAATTACCTAAAAATTTAAACTGCAATTCTGAGATTTTGTCATCTAGCAATGGAATAGCCAAATTCCTTCTATAGTATTCTTCAGGAGTTTCTGCAGGTGCAGTTATTCAATTCCTCTGTCTGTTGTAAATTCTTGCCTTGTTAGATTCTACATTGAATTTTTGTGCCAAAGTTTACTTTCTGGAATACTTTTTCCTATATTCATCTCCTGAGGGGTGCTGTCAGACTACCGTGTCTGTTGGCATGAATTTTTTTACTCTCTTTGATTTAATTCATTTTTGCTTTCTTCTGGAAAAATGTCAGAATATCTGTCTCAGAAAAAGAAAACTTTTTTGTCACTATCTCAAGACAGGTCTCACATAATGTAATAAAACAAATTGGAAGCAAAGAAAATGTCTCATGTGAGTCAACAGAACAATTGATCTTGTCTAAGTATTGAAAAGGAGATTAACATTTAAGGAGGAATTTGACTTTTGTTGAAACTGCAAGCCTCTTCAAATAGTAAATTAGAAAAATTTTTGAACAATTTTGACAGAATGCAAGCATGGATTGCGAATATAGATATAACATTGGTAGATGTTGAATCTAGGCTATCTGCCCTTAAAACTGATAAAAGAAAAGATTTATTTTAAAGATGACAAATCAAACACAGAAAATTAATGTAGTTGTAATAATCTGCATAAAAAGTTAATGAAATTAGAAGATAAAGAAAGAAGGAATAATATTGTAATTGTAATCTCAGGTATAGAAGACAACAATAAATTGAATGATTGTTCAGTTAAGGTTCAAAAACTTTTCAGCAATAAATTAAAGGTTACAGATGTCAATATTAATAAATGTGCTTTTAGAATTGGGAAATTTAAACCTAATATAAAAAGACTGCTTATTTGTGAATTGTTTGATTTTGAAGATAAATTAAAAGTTTATACAAATGTTAGCAATTTAAAAGGCCTAAATATATTCATTAATGATGACTATTTGATGAATACCAGAGTTTTCAGAGACAAACTAAGACTGCATGAAAAAGAAATGCATTTAAAAGGAGCTAAGAATGTCAAACTGCATTATAACAGATTAATTATAGATAATACAATATTTGCCTGTAATTATAAAGATGAAATTTTTCAGACAGATGGAGAATAGTCTTTTTTAGGAATATAATTTACAATGATAAATAGCATAATAACATAATTGACAAGAATGACCAATACGATGACTGTATTGGATAAAGATGATAATATGAAACTTCTCTTCTACAATATTGCAGGTTTACTTAATATATACTGTTTCCCTAATTTCTGGAATCTGATATACAAAATGGATATATTCTGTATGATGGAAATTTGGCATACATCTTCAGTAGTTGAATTAATGTCCTCTGATGATTATAAAATTTATCATCAGATATCTCATAGCCATGAGGGACCTGGAAGACCCAGTGGAGGCTTAATTGTTGGGCTTAGATTAAATACAGTATCTAAGGTTAAACTGATATTTCAGACAAGATTTGTATTGATTTTACAACTATATACTGATAGTTAACCAATATTCGGTTAATAGTGTCCTATATTCTGCCTGATAATAACTATGATGTTGATTTCAGGAATACTTTGTTACTTACAGAAAACTTCTTGCTTCATGGAACTAACTTGATTTTATGCATGGATTTTAATTATAGAATGGGACACCCTGATTATTTGTCGTTTTTTACTGGTGATCATCATGGAGTTTTGAAGGATTCTACTGTTAATAATAGAGAGAAACTTCTCTATCATCTTTGTGAAAATAACAGTTTTGTGTGTTTAAATGGATTATTGCCAGGAGATAAAGAAGGTGATTATATTACCATGCAACTAAAGGAAGCAGTGTAATTGATTTCTTCATAGTGTCACAAGAAATATATTCTCGTATTGTAAATGATCTACGTGTTTTTTCAGAGATAGGCTCTGATCACTCACCTGTTTTTCTTTCAATGATAATATCAGGAGTTCCTACTAGACAATATACTGGTAAATGTGCGATATGGAAGGATGAATGTAAATCTTCATTTGTTGTTAAATTGGATAAAGTTTTATTAGATGAATATGGAGGAAACCTCATATCAACGATCTGGTGGAATGTATAGCTAAGATGTCTATCTAGATTTAATTTATTACATTAAATTTGTCACTTCTAAAAGGCAACAAAAAATGCATGGTATGATAGTATGTGTTACTCCATGAGAATAAAAAACCTATGGAAATTGTTTAAGAAAGTGAAAAAATTAAATATGGATGAATGTTATTTTTCGTATAAAAATTATTTAAAAGAATACAAATTATTATGCCAAAAAGAAAAAACAGTTTTATTTTTGGAACATTTAAGTTCCAAAAATAAAACTGCAAAAATTAAATTGCAGATTGGTGACATGCAATGACTAAAATAATTTGGCGAATAATTAATAGTTCTAAATGTAAAAGTGTATTGGGTAATTCAAGAGTTTTTTTGGAAAGATGGTTCAATTATTATGCTACTAAATTCTCTAAATAACATTCTTTACTGATTAATAATGAACAATTTGTTGATGGATGTGTATAAAGTGTTTCCAATAGAAACAGAATATTTTACAGATTTTACACTGGAGGAGCTAAAAGGAACTATTAACCATTTTAAATTTGGTACCTCACCTGGAATTGATTTTATTATAATGGAATATTTAAAGTGTTTTTCAGAAAATTTTCTTCTTACAACATTGGAAGTTTTTAACTCTATTAAAAGAAATTCTACTTTTTCGGAAAAATGGATTGAATCTTTGGTTATTCAAATATATAAAAAAGGTGATGTGTATGACCCCAAAAATTATCGGCCTATATCTTTGATTTCTGTAATTGGAAAACTATTTATGTCTTTACTAAATAATAGATTAGAAGAATGGGTTATTAAAAATGATATTTTGTGTCAGGAGCAAGCAGGTTTCTGACCTGGCTGATCTTGCCAGGATCAAATATTTGTATTAAATGCATTGGTGCAATTGAAATTACAAAAGAAGAGATGAAAATTTTTTGCTGATTTTATAGACTTTAGATCTGCTTTTGACACTGTTAATCATAAAGTTTTATGGTCTCTATTAGAAAGAATGGGCATGAATAAACAGTTTCTTGGCCTTATAATTGACATATACTCCAAATCTACTGCAAGAGTAAAAATATTAGATGAAATGACTGATTCATTTGGAATTGACATTAGAGTTTTGTAGGGTGACATTCTGAGCCCACTGCTTTTTAACTTATGTTAATGGTTTGATAGTGTGACTTGCTAGATATGATCTATCTTATTTTCATCTTCTGGACAGTTTTTACAGGCTAAAAATTATAGTATTCGTAAGGCTAAAAAGGCACTTGATCCTATGTGGCCTATTCTTTCAAAAGCTAAAATTAATTCTGCTCATATTTATACAAAATTATTTCACTCGACGATTTCATCTGTACTACTTTATGCTCCTCCTGTATGAACAATTGCTTATCACAATAAAATGGAAATCGTTCTTACTTTATATCTTTGAAGAATAAAATACTTTCCTTACTGGAACCACACAATAAATAAAAATCAACACCTTTAAACATCCAGCAAATCGTTTTTTAATATTTAAAAACGCTTTCGAACGCTTTAAGCGATCATCATCAGTTAACATTTGTGAATCGAACGAAGANAAATTTACGAAAAAAAGAATGTAAAAAAATAAAAGTAAATAAAAAGTTCCAATTAATTTACTACTTAAATAACCTAAATATATCTGTTTTCTTTCAAACAAAAGAAACCGCAGCTTTCTAGCTACACGGAATCATTTTACAACCTTTTTTGTTGACAAGTTTATGGCTTGACGCGGTTTGTAATAATTATTAAATCCAAAATATTTTAGTGCAAACGGCTTCCTTTTAGTAGTAATGACTCTATTCAAACTACAGTATTAATTTTCTTGGTCCAACTTAATAATAATAAATTTGATGCAAAAAAATTTTTTTCTATTTGTCTATGGAGAGAGATTGTTGTAAATTATTGGTTGTTATAGCTTTTTGTACATTCCTTTTTGAACTCTGGTTAGTTTTTCTAGTTTGAATGACATTAGGTTGACGAATAAGCATCTTTTCAGAAGAGATTGATTTAAATTCGACAATCCCAATCAGAATCTAGAATGTAAACAAATCATAAAAAATCGTTATTTTCATAGTTTTTCAGCGCTATTTTCATTTATTTTTATTATTTGATGCTATTTAGACGAATAAGCAAGTTTTCCGAAGCATAAAATTGAAGATTCCCGCCAAAATAGAAACTTCCTGATAACATCGGAAATGACGTTCTAACATTATTTTATTTGATTCTTCAAAAAATCGTTATAATACTATGTATTAGATTTAAAATATTCGATATCTAAACCAGAAAGTGTTAGCTAGAAATAGACTTATTTATAGAACAACTCCCCATTTCTCACTTCAGGGAAAGTTATAAAAGAGTTGGGTGCTAATGACTTTGTGAAAGGGAAAAGTTCTACACTTAGAAACTTCGAAAGAAGGGATTTGGCCTGTACCGTCCGGCGGGCTGCATAAACATTGATAAGGGGCCGTATGTGGCCCGCGGGCCGCAGGTTATGCACCCCTGACTACATGAAAATGAAAATTAATGAATGCACTGTACAGTAATTTACCTGATAAGACAGACCTCAGAAAAATACTTTGAGGCATAAAGCTGTCTTTATCATGAAAATTAATTAACTAAGAATTTTTTTTGCCCTGCCAGGGTGTGGCCGAGTTATCCGGAGTGCCGAGTTTTTGAGGCTCTACTGTATTTGACAAATTGTTATATGTATATTGATGTGTGACCGGGAGTGTATGAAAACATAAATGTATAGGGATATAATAATAGGTATAAGCTTATATACGGTAGACTCCACTTATGAAGAATGGGCGGTACAAGTGAATCTAGGTAGTCCCGATACTTCCGGTACTGTGGCATTCGATTACTTAGACTGCGCCGGCTTCGAGTGGTCCTCTTGGCCGTTCGTGGCGTACTCGATGTTATGTAGTTTTAGGGGGTGTGGGAGCTCGCACCCGCTTGGGCAAACGTCTGTGCTTCGCATGTAGACTAGGTGGTAGACTGATGTGTGTTAAAAACTGACTTTCGCACCTTAGGGGCTACCTAAGTGCAATTTTACCAAATGGGCTAAACCATTCCTCGAAACTTTGATACCAGTCCAGTTTTGAACTGACTCAGTGTCGACTTTCGGGCGGGAAGTCGGAGGGCGGAAGTCTTGTCGTCGATCGCCCATATAGATATCCGTTAAAAAGTCATACCGTTTAACTTCTTTGTCTTTCTTGATTGCTCCTTTCGTATCCTTTTAAGTATGTTTTTGACTTCTTTTGATCTGTTGATTTCTTTGGAAATGGTACGAATTGAATTTCCTGCTACGTGAAGTTTTTGAATGTTACTCTGGTTTTATATTTAGCGCGTGCCATTGTGATGCGTCGGTGATCTGCCGAGGGGGAATGCATTCGTCCATGCATCTTGGCGCATTCCGGGAAGTCTTTTATGGGAAACTGGTCCCTATTTGGGTGTTATTGACATGAAGAAAACCTGAAAAACTTTGCTCGGCCTGCCCGTTGGTGAGGTACGAACTTGTCGTCAGCTGCCGGCATTTGGTGGTTTTATTCGCTTGGATGCCGGTGGGTCCAAACTTTAATTTCTGAGAACCGTTTATTGTGGGATATTTTGCATGCAGTAAACTGTTTTAGTTAGTCGTGTGACTATCTCCAATGTATAAGGACGGCAAGCGATGGTATGATTTTTCTTGGCTGGACAAGAAAAATCATACCGTCGCTTGCTGTCCTTTCTGGTTGCAAATATTGTATCCGGCTGAGAAAAATCATGTTTTGTTCTGTCCTTATACTTTTGGACATGTCTTAAAATTGACTTTTGTTATTTTTTTATGATCAATAAAAATCAACACCTTTAAACATCCAGCAAATCGTTTTTTAATATTTTAAAAACGCTTTCGAACGCTTTAAGCGTTCATCATCAGTTAACATTTGTGAATCGAACGAAGAAATTCGAAAATTACGTAAAACGAAATTCAAAAAGCGGTTACATAAATATATGTAAATACGTTAACATTTACCAAGTTTAAATAATCGTAAGAATTATAAAAGTTAAAACTAAATAAAGAAATAAAATAAATTATATGCATCCAATAAAAATTATCTTATATAATCTTCCCGCTTACATAAATTACGTCACTCATCGTAGAAGGATTTCCATGCCGACGATAATCCGTCAGCATCCCTATGATTAATACAGCTTGTGTGCATTTGCGCCTTGTGAATTTCTAGTTTTTCCAGATGTTTCACAGCCTGCCTGGATTTTGTGGCTTTAATGATCGACGCCCGATCCCAAAAGACTTCGATATTCTGCTGCTTGGCAAAGGCCGCAAGCACCGTAGAGTCTATGTTTTTATTGACTGATTGCTTATGTTCAGCAATCCTTTTCTTTAAGTTTCTTAAGGTTGCCCCTATGTACACTAGATTGGTGTTAAATCTACGGTCTTTTAATGGTATAGAGTACACCCCTGCCATTGCGCTGCGTTCGTAATTGCCTTTATCGTTCCTTAAGAGCCTGTATACGGTGGGATTACGTTTGTAAACTATCCGTACATCCTTATCCCTGGTAACTTTCTTAACCATTCCTTTAAGGAACGGTATGTAATTGAGTACGATTCTCTCTTTGCGTTGATTCCCTCCCTGAGAGGGGAGTCGCTTCCGACAATTCGCGATGAGGGCATCTATTCTTTCTCTACGGTATCCTTGCTGCATCGCCATGTTTTTTATATACTCTAATTCTTTGTAAGTGTCGCAGACGCTGGTGCAATGCGTGTGTGCCCTCCTTATCCACGAACGAAAAACGGCCATTTTTATATGCTCAGGGTCTGCGGAGTTCCTAGGAATGACGATAGGAAGATAAGTAGGTTTCCGGTATATATCTGTTCCGATTTCACCATCTTTGCAAGATATAGTTAAATCTAAAAAATTAACAATGCTTCCATTTTCTTGTTCCAGCTCCAGAGTTAACCCATACGGGTTGTCGTTGATCCGATCTAAAAACTGATTAACTCTGTGATTATCTTTCCATAAAATAAAGATATCGTCCACATATCTTGCGTAAGCCAATATGTCTTCCTGGAATGAGGGGAGTATATCATTTTCGAGATTACGCAACACTAATTCGCAGAGTATAGCTGACATGGGGCTACCCATCGGTACGCCCCGTGTCTGTAAGTAAGTTTTATCTTCAAATTGAAAGAAAGATGTGTGGCATACTAAATCCGCCAATTCCAAGATCTCCATGTGGTATTTCATAGAATTGCTAATTTTTGCTAACAAAAAGTCTCTCAGGGCGCAAAAGCAGGGAGGTAATTTAATTGACGGGTACAGAGCTTTGTAATCTAAAACCGTCATCCATTCTTTATCCATAAGCATGACATCCTCCAACTTTCTTAGCAACTCCACCGCATTTTTTACCGAAAAAGGCGAGTCTTGCATATTTTTCCGTATAAACTTAACCAGTTGTTTCTCCAACTTGAACGTAGGAGCATTACACTTCTCCACAACAGGGCGCAGCTGTGTTCCTGGCTTATGTGTCTTTCCGAACGCGAAAATTCTTGGGGTTCTCGGGGTCTGCACAACAGCCCTCTCCATATCCAGAAGACAGGCCAAAGGGGTTAGCGTAAATCTTCTCACCCTTTGTTGTAAAGCTTCTAAAAAATTATTCGGTGCAATAAGTGATTCTGTACTAATAATGTATTCATGCAATTTCCTTCTATATGAATCCCTCTTAATGAGCACCATACCCTTTGTTTTATCCGCTTTTATGAGTACAACATCATTCCTTCTGAGCCAGTCTCTGGTTTCTTTTATACATGTTTGGAAACGTAACGCGTTTTTGTTGTTTCGTTTCTCATTTTCGGCTTGGAATCTCGCTTTCCATCTACAGTAATCCTGCATAGTTAAACTCATGTTCTTTACAAGCAATTCAACATTCGGAATGATGTCCTCCGGGTGTACTATCAGTGTAGGAGCAAAGCAAGAACCGTACTCCAAAGCATTCAACAAGCATTGAGGGGGAGAAATGTTGTCCCAAGCGGTTAAAAACATCGTTTTTCCTACCCTCGGTTTAATATTCTGGCGCTTGAATAGCCATTTTAGCTTCTTAATATACTTGCGTTTCAGCCTATTCTCTAAGGAGTAAGATAAAGCAATCACCCTGATATTAACTTCCTTCAAAAGATCTTGATTCTCCTTATAAAGTTCATTTTCCAAATTTATGAGATGGTGCAGCAATCTATAATATAGGCGTCTTGTACATCTGATGGCCTTATTGAGGCATAAATTCTTCAACTTCGGCAACAAACTGCGACAATCCACAGGAAGTCTGATGCGATGAATTGACATAGGGAAAACCCCATTCAACCGACATTGGCTAAGAAATTCGAATTTCGTTTTCGCTCTGCATAACTTTAGGACAACTTTCCTATATATTTTGGCCAGCGAAGCCATTACTGAATAAATAAAATACTTTTATTACTGGAACTACACAATAAATAAAAATCAACACCTTTAAACATCCAGCAAATCGTTTTTTAATATTTTAAAAACGCTTTAAGCGTTCATCATCAGTTAACATTTGTGAATCGAACGATGAAATTCGAAAATTACGTAAAACGAAATTCAAAAAGCGGTTACATAAATATATGTAAATACGTTAACATTTACCAAGTTTAAATAATCGTAAGAATTATAAAAGTTAAAACTAAATAAAGAAATAAAATAAATTATATGCATCCAATAAAAATTATCTTATATAATCTTCCCGCTTACATAAATTACGTCACTCATCGTAGAAGGATTTCCATGCCGACGATAATCCGTCAGCATCCCTATGATTAATACAGCTTGTGTGCATTTGCGCCTTGTGAATTTCTAGTTTTTCCAGATGTTTCACAGCCTGCCTGGATTTTGTGGCTTTAATGATCGACGCCCGATCCCAAAAGACTTCGATATTCTGCTGCTTGGCAAAGGCCGCAAGCACCGTAGAGTCTATGTTTTTATTGACTGATTGCTTATGTTCAGCAATCCTTTNGTGCTTGCGGCCTTTGCCAAGCAGCAGAATATCGAAGTCTTTTGGGATCGGGCGTCGATCATTAAAGCCACAAAATCCAGGCAGGCTGTGAAACATCTGGAAAAACTAGAAATTCACAAGGCGCAAATGCACACAAGCTGTATTAATCATAGGGATGCTGACGGATTATCGTCGGCATGGAAATCCTTCTACGATGAGTGACGTAATTTATGTAAGCGGGAAGATTATATAAGATAATTTTTATTGGATGCATATAATTTATTTTATTTCTTTATTTAGTTTTAACTTTTATAATTCTTAAGATTATTTAAACTTGGTAAATGTTAACGTATTTACATATATTTATGTAACCGCTTTTTGAATTTCGTTTTACGTAATTTTCGAATTTCTTCGTTCGATTCACAAATGTTAACTGATGATGAACGCTTAAAGCGTTCGAAAGCGTTTTTAAAATATTAAAAAACGATTTGCTGGATGTTTAAAGGTGTTGATTTTTATTTATTGTGTAGTTCCAGTAAGGAAAGTATTTTATTTTTTATGATCTCTTGCAAACTGTAAATATTGTGAAGTTAAAGTGAAATGTCACTTCAAAACTCTCGCATTCCATTTGTTTAAGTGCATTTTAGCTATAATTAGAGCTAACACAAAATTGGTGGGGTCTTTATAGTCGAGTGGAGTGTACGAACACTCAAATATAAAGTATATTTGTCTTATCCACTTTGAATTTCTTTGTTTTAATGCTTTACACATGATGCTCGCCTAATTTGATGACTTGAATCAATTCCATTTTTTGTTTGGGGGGAGAGAGAGAGAGAACAAGCTTGAATCTTTATTTTTGTCTTTCTGGATATGTATTGTCTGTATAAAATGTAAAAAAAAGGAATGTTTGCAAGTCAGAAAAATAGTTACTAGTTTTTTTTCACCAAAACATTGTAAAATTAAAATTTATTAACAATAGCAATTTTGTGCTGCTAAGATATTGCATTTATACTTTTGTTTAATTTTTGACTTTTTGCTATTCATTTTGAAATGTTTGTTAATGTGAATCTTTCTAAAAAGAAACTTAAAACACAACATTACTGTATTTACATCATAAAACATATAAATTACCATAACATCACTAATGGATATAAAAGCAGAATGTAAAGCTAATAAAATGTACCTTTTTATTATTATAATTATAATTCATTAGGCAAACACAATTCAAAGAACTATTTAACTTAATTCTAATACAGATTTTGAATTTTAACAGCAATATGAATCCAAATAATAGACCAATTTCGGAGATAATCAAAAACAGAGACATGGAGGAACCAAAGAAAAGAAGTAGAGAGGACTGGAGAAAAGCTAAAGAATTAGAGGAAGCGAGGAAAGCAGGTACTGCTCCAGCTGCTGTCGATGAAGAAGGAAGGTATGTTTGGAGAAATTTATATTTTTTTCTAAGAGTTATAAAAGGATTGATTGATTGAATTGGTGAGTTATTTAATGATCAAAGGTTAAAAAAGGTAGTTATATCATTCACAATGAATGATCATTAAATGAGTAAAACACTTAAAGGAATGATTTCATTTCTACAATTACAGTAAGACCCCGCTTAACGCTGATTCAATATAAGGTGGTCTGCTCGAAGCCTTAAAAAAGCTCAAAATTTATACCGATTTAAATTATCGCGGTATTTCGTTGATTCGTTTATAAATCGTTTGAGACTGCATACTGTAATATCAAAACACTTACTAAAACACCTTTTCTTGCAGCCGAAGTTTATAAGAGAAACTTTCTAACGTTTTCGGTCTTGTTAAAAGACCTTTCTCAAGAAAAATAAATCACATAAAACAACAAATTGTAAATCGAACACTTAGTACAACTAACATGTTTTTCTAATATTTTCTAACTAGCTTATAATCCGTTGCAAACGACGTCATTGTGAACTTAGCAACGAAATATAAAAAAGATTACATAAATATCTAAATATAAATACATATAGTTACCATCTCCCTACATCATTCAAAAATACGTAGCCTAAGATACATAGTAACTACTTCCCTCAATTATTAAGTTTATATTAAGCTAGAGGACCATGCTGCCGATATTTTTGTCGATTCCCGAAAGTTGACTGCAAGGCCTTTATGCTTTGCCTTACAAATCTGCCAGGCTACCGCGTAATGCCGGTGTTTCCTGTCGCGGACTATCTGCATTAGTCTTGCTTGGTCCCATTCAACTTTGACGTCTTGCTGGTCTGCTAGTATGTAGGTGGCTAGTGCAGTGCAAGGTTGTTTTTTTCTTATATTTGCTTGATGTTCTGCTAACCTGTCTTTGATATATCTTCCTGTTGCCCCTACATACATTAATTTCCGTTAAATTAATTTTTTATATTTCCGTTGCTAACTTCACAATGACGTCATTTGCAACGGATTATAAGCTAGTTTGAAAATATTCGAAAAATGTGTTAGTTGTACTAAGCATTCGATTTACAATTTGTTGTTTTATTTGATTTATTTTTCTTGAGAAAGGTCTTTTAACAAGACCGAAAATGTTAGAGTTTCTCTTATAAACTTCGGCTGCAAGAAAAGGTGTTTTAGTAAGTGTTTTGATTCGTTTATAATAGGATTATTTGCAAACACAAACCAATCAGCAAAAGGTGACGAAAAGATATACTTTCTTTAAATCTGTATTTGTTTGGTGCAATTTTGGAAAAAATATAACATCATGGAATCCATAGGAAATAGCAACTTAGCTTGGCAAGAATTAACCGATAAATGCACAAACGAAGTGTGGAAGAAGTTATGGCTGAAGGTATCCAAGAATTCTCATTGAGAAGAGTCTATCACTGTATCGTTACGTTGACCAAATTGTCGACCTAATTGATACAGCGTGACTAGGACATGTAGACGAGCAGGATATTGAGGAGTTACCGCAGGTTTCCGGTGAGAGTCTTACCAATGACGACCTTCAAGAACTAGCAGAACAAGGAATTCATGTAGAATTGGAAAATAGAGATTCTGAAAACGAAGAAACCAAAAAATTTCTCTACAGATTTCCTTAGTAAAAAAGTTTGGTAATGATAACCGACATTGTTGATCAAATTGTAGCGAACGATTTTGAAAGAAGTGCAAAAGTAAAACAATACGTTTTGGATGCGATCTTTCGCTACAGACATATGCTTAAGGAAAGAAAAAAGCGACAATTGAAACTTCAGACTTTATTGCAAAAGAACAAGAATTTCTGAAAAGTCACAAAAAATGAACTTTACATTCTGTGTGCACATGTTTGTGCGTTATTTAACATATATTATTATGAAAATTAATATAAAAATAACTTAAAATTATGATAAAATTTGNACAAAAAATGAACTTTACATTCTGTGTGCACATGTTTGTGTGTTATTTAACATATATTATTATGAAAATTGATATAAAAGTAACTTAAAATTATAGTAAAATTTGTTTATTTTTGGAGGAGTGTTCCCCTTTCCCTTTCTGTTAAAATGACCTCATCTAACGGTGTTTTGTTTAACGCTTTGTCGTCTAGGAACATATCAGCAGGGTCTTACTGTATTTATGTTATATCTATTAAAGTTTTAACATTTTTAAAAAAAATTCACAATTTTCTTGAACTTTTTGTCACAAAAAGTAGCTAATTAAACAGGATTCTACTATATGTATAAATAATAGATAGACTATATAAACAATCAATCCACTGACTCAATTTTTAAGTAATGCCAAATGATCTGTTGTGTTATCAGGCTACAATAAGACTGATTTAATAATGAGTTATAAAGCAATTTGGATATATGCAGTTAAGCTGTCATTTCATGATTTCATGATAATTTTAATAATTATGATAAATTAATTTTTAATTTAGAATTTCTGGAAGAAAAGAATTGACCCATCTGTACAAGAGTTGTGGATTTGCGTACAGATGTGTTTCAGTTATGCTACCCAGACCTCTGACTGACCATTGCTTCCAGAGCTATTAAATTCTAAATTAAAAATTAATTTATTGTAAATATTAAAATTATTACAAGATAGTGTCCTAACCACCTACCTCTAGACAAATTACTTTATAATTGATTACAGAATTAGCCTTATTGTAGTCCAATAATATAGCAGATCATTTTACATTAATAAATAAAAGATTTTGACAATAACAGAAGAGCCCAGGTACTTTTTTGGTAATGGTCTATCCCAGATATGTTGGCATTGTCCATTGTGGGTCAAACTTGCAGTGTGCTTGGAAAAAAAAGGCCTTTTTGGTGTATTTAGGACAGAAAGTTTTAAAAATGTACTGTACATCATAACAGATGCTCTGGTCTTGATATTAAATGAATAAATCTATTACTAAATTCATTCATTCACTATCAAACTCATATATGTGTTGCTACTGTATTAGGATTCAATTTCAAAAAGTTTGCTATTAG